TGTCCCCTCTCCCTCTCCCTCTCCCCCTCCGGCCCTCCCGCCCTCCTGTCTGCCCTCCCTTCACCTCCTCCCCACTTTAAGAAGAAAGCAGTGGCTGCAAGGAGGAAGGTGAGTGCATGGAGTCACAGGGCGTGAGACCTTAGGAAGACCCGGCTCCAGCAGGTGGAGGGCAGGCCACAGCACCTGGGCCGTCTTCTCCGAGTCTGGGGCTCAGGCCAGCCTGTGTGCCGCTCACTGTGGAAGAGGCCGATGGGTGAGCGGGAGCCACTGTGGCTTCTCCTGTGGTCCTCCAGCCTGCCTCCCCAGGAGTCACCAGGTAAGTCCTGAGTGAGGAGACGGCGGGGCTGAAACTCCATAATACAAGCAAGCCTCCAGGGGATGAGACGCTGGAGATAAGTACTTTAAAATAGCTAGGACAGGGGCCAGCAGGTGGCGTGGAGGTTAAGGTGCTGAGCACTCCACATGGCTTACCACGGTTCGAGTCCTGGATCTGGTGGCTTGTTTTCTCATTTTTTCTCTCTCTCTGCTTCTCTCTGATCAAATTAAAATGAATGAATGAATAAATAAAATTAAATAAATAATTCTTCGGGAAAAAAACCCAGCTGGAATGGCAGCTGGCAGGTGGCGTGGTGGTTAGTACTAGACTCCCACACGGCCGACTGCGGTTCAGGTCCGGACTAGCAGCTTGCAGTCTCACTTTCCCTCTATCTCTCTCTCTCTCTATTCCCTCTCTGTGATCAAACTGGAAACGTTAAAAAAAGAAATTCTTTAAAATAGCTAAGATGGTTGTGTTCAGAAAAATAGAGGGATAATGTCACCAGTTGGTTATAATTTATAAAAAGCATGAAAATTCTAATATTAAAAATACACAGCTTGGGGCTGGCAGGTAACATGGCAGTTAAAGATGCTGGATTCCCACATGGTCAACTGTGGTTCGAGTCTCAGAACTGGCAGCCTGCTTTCTCACTTTCCCTTTTCTCTCTCTGTCTCTCTCTGGTCAGATGAAAAGGTAATAACAAATGGAATTAAATAAATAAATAATTCTCTAAAAAATACACCTGAGGGCTGGCCTGTGGCCTAGTGTTTAGACACCCAGATTGCTCATGGCTTACTGCACAGTTCAAGTCCTGGATCCTGGGCACATGCACATACGTGCCCAAACTCAAAAAGAGAGAGGATGGAAGAGAAGGGATTGAGGTGACCCTGCCCTTGGGGAGGGGGTGCTTTCTATCTTTCTCTGGCAAGCACACACACCCTGTGGGAATTTTAAAAATCTGAACTATCCACTATCTATTAAAAATTTAATCTGTTATTAAATAACCTCTCACATACAGACAAAAAATCTTCCAGGATCAGACTTTTTTAAAAAATTAATTAATTTGACGAGAGGAGAGACAGAGAAGAGGGCAGGAAAGTGAGAAAGCAAGCTTCCAGGTCCGGGACTTGAACTGTGGCTGGCCATGTAGGAGTTTAGCACCCTTAGCCACCATGCCACCTGCCGGCCTTGGGTCTAACGGTCTTATTGGTGAATTCTTGCTTTTTTTTTTTTTTTTTAGGTTTTTGGCATAAGGTGAGTGCACTTACTAGAGAGAAACAGAGAGACAGTGAGAGGAAAATGCAAATCGCCCCCAGGGGGATGGCTACACAGCAATCCCTTCTCTATTTTCTTCCTGGGATTTTGGGCACGTGTGCGCATGCACCCAGCCACCAGGTTCTGGACTCAGACTGTGTGGTCAGCCATGTGGGACCCACACAGGTAAACACACTTGTTGAAAGCCAGCGCCAGGCGCCCGGCTTGCCCTGTTTTGTTTTTAATTTGGCAGAGTGTGCACTCTCGCCAGAGAGAGTGAGAGTGGGGACGCGAGCAAGCACCCCTGGGAGACAGCCATGCGGCAGCCCCTTGTCCAGCTCTCCTCCTCTCGGGACTCCGGGCGTGCACCCACCAGTGCCCCCTGTGCGTCTCAAGCTGCTGGGTCCCCGACTTCGTGTCATAAGTAGTGCGTCCGGAGTCCCTCTGGCAATCCGGGCAGCCATCTAACTGTCCTCACCAGACATCTCTACGACAGGAGGTAGATTCGCAACTGGAGTGAGGCACCGACCCTCCCACAGAAACTGGGAGAACTGGGTGCTCCCCGATATTCTCCCCAAAAGATGAAGCCAAAGTCCTGGGGAAAACACCCGGGTCAGAGAGCGGGAAGGGGCTTATTTAGCCCTTAAGCAGATGTGCACACGGACGCTTTTATTGTTTTAAGGTTTTGCCATAGGCTGTGTGTGCTCACCAGAGAGACAGTGACAGGGATAGCGAGAAACAACCCCCGGGAGGATGGCCATGTGGCAATCCCGTCTCCATTCTGCTCCTGGGATTTTGGGCTCGCGCGCACAACCCTCTCAGCGTGATTTTCAAGCATCTGGGGCCAGGACGCGAACCGTGGTCAGCCATATGGGAGTCCGGCACCTTAACCACCATGCCACCGGCTGGCCCTGTTTGGATTTCCCTTTACCCTGGTCACGTTCTGGTTTTTGATTTGGGGCTCCTTTCAACAAGTGTATTTACCTGTAAACATCCGGGTGCCGGGGGCGTGGGCGGCGCACCCAGGACGGCCTGGGCGGGCAGGGGAGGGTGGAGGGCGCCCTGGGAGGCCAGGCCGCTTCTGCTGTGCGCGAGGCGAGGAGGGGCCTGGCGCGGCCTCCGGTCTGGGACTGGGGATGGGCGCAGCGTCGCCGTCGTTCTCCGCAGCTAAGCCTGCCCCGGCCGCCGAGCCCGCGCCGAGGCCGCTGCTGAAGAGGAACAGCTGGAACTTCGTCAAGTGCGCCTACATGGTCGTGACCTTCCTGTTCACCTCCTACAACAAGGGGGACTGGGTAAGGGCCGAGAGCGGGCGAGGGGGGCCCTCCGGCCACCGCCGCGCCCTGCCGCCTTCCCGCCCTGGCCCTGCAGTGTCACCCCTCTCCGAGGAGGGAGGGTCTGGCTGGGGGCAGGGGACTCGACAGCTCGGGTCGCCCCTGTGAGGCGCCAGGCACCGAGACACCCGCGCCCCAGAGAGAGGTGGCGGTGCCTCCGGGGAACCTGGGGCAGCTCAGGGAAGGCTTCCTGGAAAAGGCGGCCCCCATCAGGTCTTAAGGACAGGGTGACGCTGACAAGTAGCGAGGAAGGGACGGCATTGCAGAGGGAGGAGGCGGGCGAGCGCCCGCAGGCCGGCAGGGGCGTCCCCCAGCCGTGCGCGTGCAGCCCCACGCCGGCCCGAGACCGCGAGGGCAGCGGCAG